TTATCTCATTCCTGCCCACTATTTTGGTTTCAGCTTAAATTCCTAAGGTCATGACTTATTCCTGGCCTGCCTTTGCTATCAGACATTCACTGGTGGTATCTGAAACACTGTGTTGAGAAGCATCTTCCCAGGCAGCCTGGAGAAGCTCAGCCACCTGCTTTGTGGACTATGCAGAGTCCTCAGAGAACACAGGAAGGAGGAGATACAGGACATGTCATCTCCGGCATCCCTCAGGGTAGAGAAGCCCAAACTGGCCACTCTGGCGCCACTCCTCATTCCACAGTCTGTCCCCTGCCATTTGGGAGGCCTCCTGCTTTTTAAAACAATTTACAGACCTCTCCCACCACTTTTTTTTTTTTGAATCGTGCTCTTACTCTGTCTCCCAGGCTGGAGTACAGTGGTACGATCACGAGGACCACAGTTCACAGTGCCCTTGACCTACTGGGCTTAGGCAATCTTTCCACCTCAGCATCCCAAGTAACTGGGACTACAAGCATATGCCACCACACCCAGTTAATTTTTTTTTTTTTTGGTAGAGACAAGGTTTTGTTATTTTGCCCAGACTGGTCTCGAACTCCTGAACTCAAGCAATTCACCCACCTCGGCCTCCCAAAGTGCTAGGATTACAAGCGTGAGCCACCACGCCTGGCCTCTCCTACCTACCACATCTTGAAGCAAGGCACAGCACTAGCAACACAACAGAGACACGTGACTCCACCACTCATTCACTGTAGGACCCTGGATGATTTGCAGATGGCCTCTGTACCTGCAGTTCTCAAAGTGAAACCCCCAGACTAGCTTCAGAATCAACTGGAAACTCTTTAGAAATGCATATTCTTGGGCCCCACCCCTTACCTATAGGGCCAGAACTTTGGGAATGGGGCCCAGCAATCTGTGTAAATCAACCCCCCAGGTGAGTCCTCCAGGTGATTGACCCTAAACCTCTTATTTATTTATTAATTGGGAGTTGGAGACTACCTTCATCACCCAGGCTGGAGTGCAGTGGCCATGCTCACAGCCACCACAGTCTCGACCTGGTGGTGATCCTTCCGCTTCAGCCTTCCAAGTAGCTGGAACTACAGGCACGTGCCACCATGCCTGGTTAATTTTTTAAAAATTTATCTTAGAGACGAGGTCTTGCCATGTTGCCCAGGCTGGTATCGAACCCTTGGGTTCACTCAATCTTCTCACCTCGGCTTCCCAAAGTGCTGGGATTATAGGCATGAGCCACCATGCCCAGCAACCTCTTATTTGTAGAAATGGGTATAATTCGTGTTCCTAAGTTCAAAGGTGGGTTCCGGGACTAGAGGAGATAGTGCATGTTCTTGGCAGGAAGATAAGGGTCAGTACCCAGGCCGCTGGTACCTCACCATTGATGCTTTATCGTTATTCACAATCATGGTCTCAGGATCACAAAGCTATTTCAAAGGAATTGAGTGTGCACTCACCTTCTTTCCTTCTTCCTCTCTGCTGGGCTGAGCCTCCAGCTTCCAAGTCCCCAGTGTTCTCTGAAGCTTCTTTAGCCAAGGCCAGCATCCATCCTCTCTCTCAGCCCACTCACATCCAGTTTTTAGCCTTTTCCTCCTAAGTCTATCCCCTCTCCCCAGTTTTGCAGATCCATAGCACCCAGAACCTGTCCACAGACTCCCCCCATCCTGGACTCTCTCCCCACCCCAAACCCCCAGCAGAATGTATCTCTCTATCACCTTCCCCTCCTCCATCCTAGATGGGAAGGGCAGGTGAGCAATCTTCTAGACTCTAGGCACATTCCTGGGAGGCAAGGAAAGGGGAGGCAGAGGCTGAGGGTGGGTCTCCCAGAATGAATCATAACCCAGTCTCAGCTGCAGGTAACTCACTCTTCTCCACCCAGGCTTCATTTTGTTTCACTTTTTATTTTTTATTTTTTGGGTCAGAGTCTCCCTCTGTTGCCCAAGCTGGAGTGCAGTGGCATGCTCATAGCCACCACAGCCTCTACCTGCTAGGCTTAGGCAATCCTGCTTTAGCCTTCCAAGTAGCTGGAATCACAGGTGAGCGCCACCACACCCAGCTAATTTTTTTATTTATCATAGAGGCACAGTCTTGCCATGTTGCCCAGGCTGGTCTTGAACCCCTGGACGCAGGCAATCCTCTCGCCCCCGCCTCCCAAAAAGCTGGGACTACAAGTGTGAGCCACTGCACTCGACTTTGCTTCTATTATTTATTTATTTGTTTATTTATTTATTTATTTATTTTGAGTTGGAGTCTCACTCTGTCGCCCAGGTTGGAGTGCAGTGGCACACTCACGGCCACCACAGCCTCGACCCGCTGGGCTCAGGCGATCCTTCCACCTCAGCCTTCCAAGTAGCTGGAACTACAGGCACACGCTACCATGCCCAGCTTATTTTTTGATTTATTGTAGAGATGAGGTCTCACCAAGTGGCCGAGGCTGGTCTTGAACCCCTGAGTTCAGGCAATCCTCTCGCCTCAGCCTCCCAAAGTGCTGGGATTACAGGTGCTTCAATTTTAAAAATAAAGGGGTCCATCTTTGTTAGGTCACACCATCTTTGTTAGGTCACAATCCCAGTGGAGCCTCCAGAATGTTAGGTCAGGTCCACCAGGGGGTGATTGGTGTCTGCGATTCGGTGCCACACAAAAGATGCAAAGAATTGCACAGAAGTTAAATTGGAAAATATAGTTTATTTTAAAAGTATATTAGAAAGAGAGAGGAGATTCACCTCCCTAAGGTAGGGGAGGAGTCCAAGGCTAGGAAACATGGTGACTGTGGCTCAGGGAACCACATGGCCAAACCATGGCTTAGCAAAGCAATGGTGGCTGGCTGCTCGAGGTTGAATGTTTTTAAACATTCCCCTTGATGGGGGCAGGTCACTAAGGTGGTTGGGTGGTGGTCTGCTCCATGTCGTTGTAGAGGGCAGGTACGCACAGGTACTGATAGCAGGTGATAGATAACAGCCAGATTGGTGGGTTCATGACATGACAGTTGCCATGTTGATGGGATCTGGGTCAGGAAGGAAGAGCAGAGCTGATTAAGTTAACTTGTTTTCCAAAGAAGCTGGGGAGGGTGTTGTAAAGCAATTATCAATAGCTACCTCTGAGAAACCGGTTCTAGTGGTTTTGAGGGTAAATGAACTGCTAGAAAAACATGAGATTCAGGCAATGTTAAAATGGCTGTTCATTGGGTATATTAAATCAATGTTATGGCCTTCCAATCTTTTTTTCATTGCTCTTGGAGCGAAATTGCACCTATTCTCTTTCTAACAGGCTCCACAGACAGGGCACATATAATGTAATTTAGTCTGTCAACACACATTATTGATATTGGAGTACTAATAATGAAATGTATCTGTAAGAGAACAAAGTCAGCTCAGGAAAGCAGACGCTGGCCGGGTGTGGCGGCTCATGCCTATAACCCCAGCACATTGGGAATGCTGAGATGGGAGGATTGCTTGAAACCAGCCTTGGGCAACAGAGTGAGACCTCGTCACGAATAAAAACAATTTTTCTTTAAAAAGTATATCTTTGTCACTGGTTTTCTCTTTACATTTCCAATCCCTTGACTAGGGGGCCCCATCCCCCACCGCTTCTTCCTATTTCGGGAGCTCAGCTCCAATCTTGTAGCTCCTGGCCAGGACTTCACCTGGGAGGTCTCCCTGTGCCCCACAGAAGTTGCACCTGCAGACAGCTAGCCCCCAGGTGAGTCCTGTGGGAGGCTGTGAAGAAGGGCAAAGTTGGCCAAATGTTGTCCCCCAGGCTCCCCCTTTCACCTGCTCCACTGGCTTAAAACAGGAATTCCCAAAGGGTCTGAGTTAATGAGTCTGGGGTGGAGCCCAGGAATCCAAGCTTTTAAGCAATCTTCTTGCGATAAAGTAAATGTGTGATCAGAGACAATGATAAGGATCAGCAAACAGCCCATTTTCACCCGGTGTGGAGCTTGGAGACTTAGCCTTTGGGTTCTTTTATTGAATGGAATTTGTGGCATCTGGGAGCGGCACAGAGACCACCTCCCAAGCTCCAGTTCTTATCCCCCAATTTTTTTTTAAATTCCAACAACTCGGAAGAAAATAAAGTAAAAATTAAAAAAAAATCTAGTTGCTGATAGACTGCACCTGAGATCAAGGCAGGATTGATCAAACCCACGAAGTGGGGCCAGACTCCGTCCGAGCTGGAAGCGACAGGGGTCTGGGGACCAGGTGAGCCGCTGTCTGAGCGGCCTTGACCCCACTGCGCCTGCCCCAGGGCTCCAGCTTCGCTGGGCCGCAACCCCGGGACGGGAGAGGCGGAGGCGGCTCCGTCTGTTTCTCAGAACTGCCAAACCCACCAGGCCTGCCAAGCTCCCCACCCGCCAGCTCCCGGGCAGCCCCCCGGAGCCCGCCCCGCGAGTCCCCCGGACAAGGGCGCAATTGACCCGAGCGAGCCGCCTCGGCCTACCCAGATGACGGCCAACTTTTTTTTTTTTAAGGCATCAAATTCAATATTTACAAGAACAATCTCATGCTTGGTTCTAAAACTACCGGCCACACAAAGAACACTTCTCCACTCAGCCCATAACAAGAAAAACGTGTCTTGGTGCCTTCCTCTTAAAAAACAAAATAATAAACATAATTTCCGTTTTTTAAAAAAAAGGGCAAAACCGCTGTTGCACGCAGACCTTTTCCCTCCTGCTGTTGGCCAGGATAAAAAGCCCATTTTGCCAGGGTTGGGGGCCCCGCAGCTGCGGCCCTGTAACTTTAAACCCAGCCTGAGATCATCGCTCTGGCGCTGGCCAAACAGAGCCCGAGGGCGGGCCCAGCGCGCGGGGCCCGAGACCACCTTACGGCCGACCCCGCTCCCCGCCCCCGTCAGGGGAGATAAATGCTGACTCCGCTGCCCAAGTTCGCAGCTGCCAAGTTGGCTCGCAGAGGGCCGGTCTCCTTCCCGCCGGGGCTTCTCCTGCGCTCGGGCACCCACCTCGCGCTCCTCCGGGCCCGGCCCGTGGCTGCAGAACTTTCTGATCTTCCCCCAGCACCGAAACTCGCTGCTCGGCCCCCCAGGAGATCGAGTCCGCCGGGAAGATGTGGAAGGCGCCGGTTCTGCTCTGGGTCTTGGGAAGCGCATCGGTCTGGGTCCTGGCACAGGCAGGTAAGACCCGGCGCGAGCGGCTTCCTGCGGTTGCTGCCGGGACAGGCGAGCGGACACTTGCTGGAGCGCCCGGGCCCGGTGCCTGAGGTTGGCCAGGAGAGCGCGGGGAGCTGCGGGTGTGTGTGCCCGGCGAGGTGGCTCAGCACCGGGGGGGTTGGGGGCGGGAGCGGTGGCTCCGCGGGGGCCGGGTCCCAAGCACGCGGCTGAGCGCGTGTGTCCGGGGGAGCCCCGGATTCCACGGGGTGGGGAGCAGAAGGGAGTCCCCTCGGGTCAGCAGGTGAGGATAACAGCGCGGAGCACCGCTCACTGGCCAGAAGGACTGGGCTTTCCATGGGGCGTGTGTTGGAGACATGCTCACGCTCCAGGAGTACCTGGCCCCACAGGATAGGGACGGGGGGGGAGGCATTGGGCAGGGTCGCGACCGGGAGGAGGGTTGCCCCCGCTGCAGTGGCCTTGGTCTCCCTTGGGACTGCCCGGTCTTGGGCCCCGTGCGCCAGCCTGTTGGACACTCTCAGGACCCCATCATGGCGCTTGAAGAGGCCTTCCGTCCCTTGTAGGTAGGATCGTGTGTTTGGAAAGCCATCGAAGTGGAGGCTTCTGAGTCCCCTAAGTGAAGGGAGGATCGTTCAGGAACATGAATGTTGCAGTGGGTTTGGGGCCATGTGTTGGACTTGGACAGCCGCATCAATGACTGAGTTAGTGTCGGTGACTCCTTAGACTTTAGTATTATTACTATTATTTTTGAGTCAGGGTCTCACTCTGTCGCCCAGACTGGAGTCGCAGCCTCTACCTCTTGGGCTCAGACAATCTTTGAGACTCAGCCTCCAAAGTAGTTGGGATTGGGACTATAAGCACAGGCCACCTCGCTGGGCTAGGGTTTTTCTTTTTCTTTTTTTCTTGTTTCTGTTTTGTGTTTTGTTTTGAGCCAGTCTCACTCTATAGCCCATACTGAAGTGTAGTGGCACGCTGTTCACGGTCACTGCAGCCTCGACCTGCTGGGCTCAGGTGATCCTTATGCCTCAGCCTTCCAAGTACAAGCATGTGCCACCATGCCTGGCTAATTTTTGATTTATCGTAGAGATGAGGTCTCGCCAAGTTGCCCAGGCTGGACTCGAACCATGAGCTCAGGCAATCCTCTCACCTCAGTCTCCCAAAACGGTAGGATTATAGGCATGAGCCACTGCGCCCGGCCTTTTTTTCTTTTTTGTAGAGATGCGATTTTGCTATGTTGCTCAAGCTGGTCTTGAACTCTTGGGCTCAAGCAATCTTCTTGCCTCAGTCTCTCAAATTGCTGGAACTACAGGTGTGAGCACTGCACCCGGCCTCATTAGACTTGTACTTGATCAACCCATGTCCACATCTTCCCTCCTCTTTGTCCTTCTCCCACCTTGCCTTTCTGCCTGGTTGCTGTGTTGGTGGTCTCCATTAACATCTGACCTTATTTGCTTTTCCAGAGGACATAGATTCATCCAGTCTTGATTCTCAGGGCTCAGGGCCAAAACAACAGCTGGCACATAGTAGTTGTTCACTAAATGTTGGAGGTATTGTAAGCTAACTAGTGATCTTTGAGGCTGGAAGTTGCTGAGACATGCTCTGAAGAGTAAACCCTTAGGTTTTCCAAATTGAGGATACAGGTAGGGCAGGCCCAGAGGGACCCCTAGAGAGGGGGTGGTATGCGGGAGGGGTGCACCCAACCGCAGCTTCCACAAATCCACACAGCCAGAGGGAAATGATAGAGTGTACTGGTCTGGACTGGGCTGTCTGCTGCGAAAGGCTGGAGCAATTCTTTTTACAGGGAAATGGCCAGTGTGATATTTACCAAACTGGATTTATATCTGTGTGATTTTTACAGGGCCCCGGGCTATTCGTGGTAGCCCTATCTTGGCAACTTCTCTTTCCACCGGAATTATACAGTTCTGTATTTCCTTTTTGGCGAGACAGTGTGCAGATGACACCGTTTTGTGCCCACCAGTGCAAAGGGAGGGAGGCCCCCAACCTGAGCCACGTCCCAGCCCTGCTAAAGAAAGACAGAGACTGGGGAGCATCCTCTGTTTTTACCCAGGGAAGCCTTCACTGTAATTATCTTAAGCCAGCTCCCTAATGTCAAAAGTACTCCTCTAAGGTAGCATTAAATCTCATCTGGAAAAAAAACACCATTGGACTGCTAAAGAAAGAAGCCCCGCCCAGGTGGCAAACAGGAGGGAGGTGGGGGGTATACTGGCTGAGGGCGGACGCTGAGGGCCGGCTGCCCACAAGAAACAGAGGCCCAGCAGGGTTTTTGTCTGAGAATAATGAGTGAAGCAACTTGAATATGGATGAATAACTTCATTGAGCTGAGCCGTTGTTGGCTCCTGTTGGGGAGCTGGGCTGGGGGGTAATTATGGTGATGAATTTTATTATCCTGCTTCGAGGACCCTGGCCCCACAGCCCCACTGCGTTTCCCTCAGCTAGGGTTATAATCTGGTTCAGTTTTCTGATCTGGTCCCCTGTGTCATCTCTTTGGATATTAGTGGATTCTAAGGAGGTCTGTTAGCCACGCATCTGGCGTTTTCCTCTACCCTTACTCTGGACCCCTCCATTAGACAGTTTATTTTGTGCAGTTCTGCAAGTTGCTGCTTGTTGCTAATCCACATGTGCTTTTCCGGGACCAGTTCACCCAGGATTAATCATGCGGCTCACAAATTTCCCTGTGATTTCCCCGAAACTCATGCCAGTTCTGGAAGCCCTGAGAGCAGCAAGAGTTGCTGAGAGTTTTGTCTCACTGAAGCATTTAATAAAGATCAGGTCTGTTAGAGGTTTCGTGAGGGAGGCCCTCATGTTACACGGTGTATAAGATCCAAAGTAGCATTCAATATAGAAAAGCACATTTTACAGAATGTGTTCGGGCAAGAGAAAGCTAAGTCTAGACATAGCTAAGAGGGCTGAATTCCTTCCTTCTGTAAAATGAGCAGCACACAAGTGACTCTATACCACAGAATTACAAAGACCCCAAGCCTTGGCATGATGGTGGATGGTCCGGCCAAGAAGAAAGAATACCACCTTCCTCTCATTCCCATCCCCCACCACGTGCTAGGAATGTCCTCTGGTACCTCTTTTAGTTGTCTCCACTCCTGTAAATTATACACTATTATCTCAGAATATGCCAAAACTGGGTTTCAAAATGGGTCTAACTAAAAACCTCAAGATCTTTTTACTACACTACTCTACCATAAAAACGCCAGAGGTTGAACTTTGAAATTCAAGATTAACTTCACTTTAAGCCCTTTAAACATAAAAGCAAAAATTTTCTAAAGATATAAAAATTCCTTTACATTAAGTAAGCCTTTAAGAATGAAATCGACAGCCAGGTGCAGTGGCTCATGCCTATAATCCCAGTACTTTGGGATGTGAGAAGATTGCCTGAGCCCACAGGTTCGAGACCAGCCTGGGCAGCATGGAAAGACCTATTATCTACAATAAATAAATAAACTTAACAACTTAGTGAGACCTCATCTCTATAATAAATCAAAAAATTAGCCAAGTGTGGTAGTGCACACCTGTAGTTCTGGCTACTTAGAAGGCTGAGGTGGAAGAATGACAGGAGTCCACAGGTCGATGCTGCACTGACCATGAGTGTGCCACTGCACTCCCACCTGGGCGACAGAGTGAGACTCCAACTCAAAAAAAATTTTTTTTAAATAGCCAGGTGTAGTGACGTGTGCCTGAGGTTCCAGCTACTTGGAAGGCTGAGGCAGAAGGATCACCTGAGCCCAGCAGGTCGAGGCAGTGGTGGCCAAGAGCATGTCACTGCATTCCAGCCTGGGCAACAGAGTGAGACACTGACTCAAAAAAAAAAAAATAATGAAATTGTCACAGTACATGGAAATAGGATTCATTAATTCATTCTGCAAATAATTGTTAAGCATCTCCTGAATTCTTGGTATGTTGCTGGATGCAGGACTGAAGACTACTACCCTTCTGAGAGAGGCACACCTCAAACGGTAAAGTGTGCTCTACAGTCAGTCCTTCCTAGCAGAGCAATGAACCTGCACTTTAAATTCCACTGGCTTATCTGAATATTTGTCATATTTCTGGCTTCTCAGAGCAGACATGCCAGGTTACAACTTGTGAAAATATGACGGGGGAGGATGAGGAGGGAGAGAGAACTTGAAGCTCACTTGAATCTGAGTAAGATCCTGTAAGGATCTCTAAGAATGCCTTGCTAACTTTTTCGGCCACCTGAGGATCTCTAAGAATGCCTTGCTAACTTTTCCTGCCTCTCAGGGAAATATCCAGTGTGAACATTTTGGTGGAAGAGAACCAAATGATGGAAGATGCTGGGGGTACTTCCAAAGTCTAGCGAACAGTTACTAGACTTTAAAATTCTCACAGAATGGGCAAGAGATACACCTCTTCATTTTATTTTATTTATTTATTTATTTATTTTGAGATGGGATCTTGCTATGCTGCTCAGGCTGTTCTCAAACTCCTGGGCTCAGGAAACTGAGCCCAACTTACAAATCCTCTTGATTGAAGTTTTGTGTCCTTTCTCTGCTGGTTTCTTAAAACTTTTTGGGCAAAGAATTAGTGATTAGGCATTTTATCCAAGGGCTACTAGATAGAGTTCGCTTAGGGAACAACTGGAATTCTGCCAAATGCATACAAAGAGGGAAAACAAGGTGGCTGTTTTCTTCCCACAAGTCTAACCCCAACACCCGTCAGCCAGTCTGTTGGCAGTTGGCCAGCTGATGGCAAACTCCCTTAAACATCAGCAGAAAGAGGTAGACAGGCTTGCCTTTTTTTTTTTTCTTCTTCCATCTGGCTGAGGGTCTATGCCTTGAGAATTGCTCAAAGGAAATGGATTTGTCCTTGGAGGTAAATCAAGCTAAGTTCAGGGAGAGACCTGCAAATTTGGCCAACTGCTGAAAACGAACATTGCTAGGCAACGCTAAATTTCATGCAAGAAAAAAAAAATCTACCAAAAGATAATCACCTTTTCAGAGGAAGATGTGTTCTTGACC